CCCCAAAACCCCAAAACCCCAAAACCCCAAAACCCCAATATGAAGATTATTAGTTGAAAAGATTATAATTCCTTCAAAATTCCTGGAAGAAAGAGGCTTTTGAAAATATTTAAAGAAAATTATGCGAGCTTTTCGCAATTAAATACTGCCGTTAGGTTAGGAATCAGGCTATTTCGGAGTGACTCTAATATTCAGCTCTCTAGGATCTGCATTTAAGACATAATAGTGATATCCCATATCGTCTTCACAATCTATATAAAAATTTAGCGATTACAAAATTGGAGTAAAGTTATTCAAAAGTCTTTTCCTAAAATACTTACTATCTGATTTGAGGATTAAGTCTTCATACTCTGAATTATACTCCTTATTGAGGGATATTGGTCAAACTTTGACAATGTTTCCGGAAACAATGTCTTGCTGAGGATTAGACTTAGTTTTACTCAGCTTCAAGCCTTCATTAGAGGATTCGAAATTATTTTCATCTAGATCTGAGGATCCAGAAATATTTAGAACAATTTCATCATCATCTTCTTCCTCCTCACCACATTCCAAAATTCCATCCGATATAGAAAGCTTCCTGATATCTTTGATGCTCCTATACAGTTTCCGGTGAGATTAAATCGTGCTTTAGTAGTAAGCTTAGTCCTTCAAAAAGAACGTAAAAATAGTTGAGAATTGCTCTCGAAAGTTTAAAAATAACTGAAAAAGTGGACTTACTCTTTATCAGATTCATTACAAACTTTCTCTAGGCTTTCACCTGAGTTCAGACTGAGGTTTTTCTTAAAGAATCTTGGCGATTTTTTAAAAGAGAAATCTGTCTGTTCTGATCTTTCTGCTCTCATCTTCTCCTTCACATAGTTATTCGTGAGTAATTTCAGAGATTGAGGGTTTCTATAGCCGGTCTGAGGCATTTGGTAGTCACAATTGGTAAGAATGCTTCCCATGTTTGTTTTGGAATTAATTTAATTTGTCTCTGTCCTTCAGCTTTTAAGCTTTGCTAAGGGGTTTTGGGGTTTTGGGGTTTTGGGGTTTTGGGG